TGATCCTTCGAATGTGTATTTTCAAAGTGTACAGAACATTATATATGACTCGCAGCAATTTTGTTTTTATGTATCAAAGTATTTTCTTACCGCCTGTAATTAGACCGCGCTCCGCCTCTTGTAGATAATGTAAAATAATTATGTAGTATTTGTGGTATATTTTTATTGTGATATTATTATTAGTACAGGACATGTGTTCACTGTTTATTAAAAATTTATATTGTGCAATCAGAACGTTGAATGTTTCCTCATTTGTTTATTAGGGTGGGGTCATCTTCCGGGCTAACAATCGTCTTTCCTCTTATGCCCTCTTATATTGGTGGTCAGTGTAAATGTCCCCGTTACATTGGTGGTCAGTGTAAATGTCCCCGTTACATTGGTGGTCAGTGTAAATGTCCCCGTTACATTGGTGGTCAGTGTAAATGTCCCCGTTACATTGGTGGTCAGTGTAAATGTCCCCGTTACATTGGTGGTCAGTGTAAATGGCCCCGTTACATTGATGGTCAGTGTGAGGGTGCCCACACACCTTACGATAATCGTACGATAATCGCGGGAAATCCCGCGTTCGTACGATTATCGTAAGGTGTGTGGAAGCCGTGCGACCTCTACTACTGTAAGGTCGCACGACTCTAAACTTACGAACATGTTCGAAAACCCGCCGAGCATCGTACGATGTTCGGCGGGTGTGTAGCATGTTTGTAAGATAAAAGCCGGACAGGCCGGTTTTAAAACATTAATGCACATGGACATACTTGGACCACGTTGATCTCTTTAACATGTGTATGTAAATATAAAATGTAGAAACCTATACAGTCCCTTTTTTTTATTCAACGTTGAGTAGGGCGGGGGCCAGCAATGGATCTATTGAGATCTACCTCTAAATTCCAGCCATGTGATGGGGAGATTGTGACCCCGCTGTGCTACCCCTTGCGTTCCACCACAGAATCTGATTCGCATAGAGCTACCAGCAGCCCCCAGTCCCCCATTCATCTCTCACCCTGTGTAGACACGGCTACCCAACACAGTGCTGTTTGCATTGGCTGCAACTGTACACACACATGTTGTTACGCACTATTGCATGACTAAGAAGCAGCTCCACTGATTGATGTTTATTGTGGACATTGCAGGGAATGATCCTCGGGCCTCACAACCTCGCAACCCATAGCCATCCACCTTATCCAAGGAATGGGCCAATCACAGGTCTCTGAACTCTAATGCTCCAAAAGGGACACGTATACCTTCATGGTAAACGTGGGCACATTGTCAGATTGGACAATAATTTCCTATTTCAGGTAAGGGCTTAACCTAGGGTTGTCACCTTTGTTCTGATAAAATAAGGGACAGGGTAAGGGGTGAGGTAAATATCGGAGCGCTTTGTGTGTTGTGCTGAATGGAACTTAATGGGCTGAAGGACACTGACATCTGCATTGAACGATGATGTTACCCACTCCTTGATGCTGCAGGGTGAGTCCCTTTCACATTAGAAGTCTCCCTTCACATCAGAGTCCCCCCTTTAGATCTGGAGCCCCCCTCCACCTCAGAAGCCCACTTATGTCACGGTCCCCTTTTTCGCATCAGAGTCCACACTTCACTTCAGGCTCCCCCTCTTCAGATGAGCCCCCCCTTCACATTAGAGTCCATCCCCTTAACATTAGAGTCCCCCCTTTTCTTCAGAGCTCCCCCTTTACAA